AGGGGAGGCGCTTACTCATATTGCAAACAATCTTATTTTAATGGATTTGTTAGATGGATGCAAGAGGAAATGATAAAGCAAATAGTTAATAAAAGATGCTGAAATTTAAACTTCAAGGTTGATAGTTAAGACACAAATAACAAATTAATGAATGATGAGGCAGAAAGCACTAAATAGCTGGTATATAAATAACAGACATTTGCCAGCCTCCACATGTGACAAATGGTAGCAGACATGTGAGGAAAACATCTGATTTTAAGAATCTAAATGAGTGGTTAAGAAGCACAAGAGGATAAAAACGATAATATAATCAAGGTGGACTATGCGTTTCCCTCAGGAATGATTTATACAGCCACAGAATTCTGTCACTGGGTTTAGCATTTAGACAAGAAAACAGTATCTATTTGCAGATATGAAATGATACCATTTAAAAATGGTAAAATGGGAGTCAAAACTAGAGATAAGACTAACAATTGTCTCTTTGTTAAAATCATATACAAAGTATATTAAAAATAGCTCAAGGGGAACGATGTCAGGTATTTCTAGGGAACACACTAAGGACAGGAAAACAGTAGAATGTAAAGTGAATGCCTGGGAACCCTGAATACATGTTAAACTAATTATGGTTTTCAAGTGCAGAACCACTCTTAATTTACAAATCTGAATAAAAGGCCATGTGAACAGCAAGCTATTGTGGACATGGAGGTAGAGTTCCTTCTGAAGGAAGGGGCTTAGGAGTTTTGCCAAGCTGGACACAATCCAGCTCGACCTCTCTGGGAAGTCTCATTATCACCGCTGAGCATAGGGTTCTCTCCCCTCTAAAACAATTGCACAGAATGCCATAATGTGACAAATGCCTGACCATATGAGAGCTGTTCAATAAATGTCAATTAGGTTTAGCCCTTTCTTTTTCAAGTATTTTAAGTAAATGAACTTGGAACAACTGTCCCAACATGTACATACCAATAATTCTTTTTAAAAGGTTCAACATCTTTAGCCACCAGGGAAATGAAAATAAACACCACTTACAGATCCATCTTACACCTGTCAGATTAGTAACACAGGTGACAGTTCATGCTGGGAGAGGATGTAGAATAAAGAAAACATTTCTCCATTTGCTAGAGGGAGTGCAAAGCAGTACATCCAGTGTAGAAACCATCATGGCCAGTACTCATTAAATCAGGAAGCAATATATCTCAGGACCTAGCTATATCGCTCTTAGGTATATACCCCCAAAACCGATATATCCTATCACAAGTACACTTGCTCAGTCATCTTAATAACACCTTTATTCATAATAGCCAGAAGGTGGATATCCCTCACCAGAAGGGTAAGATACACACAATGGAGTATCACTCAGCTTTTTTTAAAAAGAGAAGACATGATGAAATTTTCAGGGCAACTGTTGGAACTAGAAAAGATAATACTGATTGAGATAATTCAGAAAGACAAACATGACATTGTTCACTTATAAGTGGATAATGGCTATGAAGGAAATGATAACCAAGCTACAATTCTTAGATCCAGAGAGGTTAGATAAAGTGGAAGAGTCTCGGAGGACACATAGCTCTCCCTGAGAAGGGGAAATAAAATAAATTTGGGGGAGTTTATTGGGGGCAAGTGAGGACAGGAAAGAGATAGAGGAAGGAGATGGGGAGGAGGAAGAGATGACTAGAAATCAGGGGAGGGGGGTGAACAAACCTAGTACAGTACAAACTCCCTGAAATCCATAGAGGATACAAAGTCTCAATCAGCTACCATGCAAGGTTTCCAGTCGTGGGACTGGGCTGCATCATTCTGAAATGTTGGTGAAGGGATTCTGGTAGAGCTCCTTGAACAAACCAAACTAATGCTAGGACAGAGGTGTGATGTCTCAAACTGCCAGGCTGTCCCATTGCAGAGGACAACATCTACACAGTTTATGGACTGCGGAGAGGTCTAGTTGATACCTGCATAGGTCACTTGCTTCTTAGGCCCAGTGTTGTAAAATTTACCTTCTAGTCCTTTTACTGAATTTTTCTTTGTTATTATGTATTTGATTTCCAAAGTCTTCTAGAAGATTCTTGAATGTTTTTTTTTGGGGGGGTGGTATAGGATTGTTTTGTTCTGTTGTATATCATTCTTATTTGAAATAGGTATCATGATATCACATTACACATAAGGTTTTATTGAATATCAACAACTTTTGAATAGATATTGTAAAACTTTTTAATCCACATTTATAGTAATTTTTTTCTGCTTCTCCTGATTTTTCTTTCTGGTGTAAGTTCTATGTCCATTCATTCTCTTTTTCTTTAGTGTCATTCTTGGAAATTATCTAAAATGTCCACTGACTCATATAGATAAATATACATAGGAGAGAAGCATGTAAAAATGAAAAAAATATTAAGAATTGTGGTGGGGGTGATATTACATATAGTTTCACTCTAGGGTGAACACACATTGCACCAGGGATTTCTGACTTTGTATACTCATTTGGACATATAAATACATGCCCATGTGTGAACACATGCAAACACACACACACACACACACACACACACACACACTCACACCTATATTTTCAGCATTTTATCCTATGATGGAGCACTTCCCCAAGACATGTGTATTTGAAGAAGCATGTAAAATATACCACACAATTTGTTCTCAGTCCACTGAGATGCACCATGTACCCAGGCCTCCAAAATTTGCTTTCTGATTTAGAAAGTGGAGGATTCACAAGACAAATTGCACAAAAAACAGTACCTCTTCTCCCAGGTTTCAGAAAGCGATGCAAAGGAGGAGAGACCCAAGGAGTATGCTCTGCTTCCTGACCTTGAATGTACAGCCCCGCTTTAAGCAGCATCTGGCCCCGTCTCTCCTAAGGCTTCAAAGGTCCCCTTGCCAACAGCAGCCACCTGTGATGCATTTCCTCTCTAAACCCAAATTTTAACTTCCTCTGGGTGAATCAGCTGCCACTCATTTACTTGCTTTCCGCTTTCCAAATTCTACCACGGTTGCCTCATCTACTTAACATTTAATCCTTACGGATATTTTTATTAACGCCTTGCCAATTTACTACAACAACCAGGGAGAAATGGGTTACGTTTATGTCAAAGAAGGTTTCCCAAATTTTGATGGAAAGTTAACTCTACAAGACACTATACAACATTTGTGTGTGTGTGTGTGTGTGTGTGTGTGTGTGTGTGTGTGGTGTCCCTGCTACAAAAAGAGTGTCAGATTTGTAAAATTAAAAAGCCATGTGAACAAGTTTGACAGCTACATGCATAACAATAACACACACACACACACACACACACACACACACACAAAATAATGTGCATTTCAAATTCACCACTTCATCAGATCTGACTGGAATACTTTTAATGTCCAACTACTTAGGAAACCTTGGGTTGTAATTACACGAAGTAAGAAAGAGATGGATTAAAATGAACTAATATATCAGAAAAATGAGAGGAGTGAAGACATTGAAAAATTTTACTTTAGTTTGTGAGTGTATGAGTGTGTGAGTGAGTGTGCGAGTGTGTGAGTGTGTATGAGCGTGTGTGAGCATGTGAGTGTGTGAGTGAGTATGTGAGAGTGTGTGTGTGAGTGTGTGAGAGTATGTGAGTGAGTGCGTGTGTGAGTGTGTGTGTGTGTGTGTGAGTGTGTGTGTGTGAGCACACATGTGTGCGCGCGTGCATGTGTATGGAATTACCCACAGAGGCCAGTAGAGGGTAGTAGCAGCCCTGCTCGAGCTGGACCCTCAGCAGGGCAGCTGAGAACCACTCAATAAAGCTGCTGGGAGGTGAAGTTGATTCTTTGCAAGAGCACCTCATGTGGTTAACAACTGTATCATCTCTCCAGCCCCACTTTTTAACACAAGCCAAAGAACTATTTGAGAGCTTTTCAGACCATCCATTTGGGTGGTGTCCAATGACTACTTTCAGGACTGCTGCTACAATGAAACTCCATAATCTCAGGCTAAACACAGAAATCTACTGTCTCACAGATCCTAGAGGCTACAGTGGTGACGATGTGGCTCCTTCCAGAGCAGTGAGGGGAGACCCTATTCTCAGCATTTTTACTTGGCTTTTATTCACTTTCATGTTCCTTTGAAACTCTCTGTGCATATACCTTCCTTAGGATTTTCTTCTTATACTAATGTGGGTATAGACTCATGATAGTAGCTTCTTTACTACACTAAGCTTTTGCTGATACCCTATCTATAGATAATTTAAAATCTTGAGCCATTAAGACTGACGGTTTCACCATGCGAATCTTGTAGAAACAGAATCACTTCATAGGGACTGTCTTCTAATGAAGGGTGAGAACATTTTTAAAATTTACAAACATATGACTAAGAAAGAAGTTCAGCTAAGGTGCAGTGACCATGTCATATAGCCCATCATATTATGATTCACTAACCCAAGTTCCTAAGTGCAGTTAAACTATCTTTTAGAAAACCGGAGTCATAATTCAGTAATTCATTTAGATTAGTTTGATTTAGAGACGTTTGGGCTTAGAAAATAAATCACAGAAATTCTGTTAGGTCAGAAGTTACCAGACTGATCCGCACAAATCTTTTTAAACAATGAATATTTCCAGTCCCCTGTGCTAGATACCTCTAAAAGAATTTTCAAAACAATATATATATATATGCATATACATATACATATATATATATAATTTTTTTAATTCCCAAATTGATTCCAACTTGGGCCATCTTAACAAAACTTATACTGTAGGATATATTTAGCTAGAGGATTACGAGAAAGCAGGTAGACGATTAGTAAAACACAATGGACAATGTTTTTAATGCTAAAATAATCACAGCTAATAGATAGTTTCCTAAGTTTAGTGAAAATTTAAGTCTACAAAGTTTCATTGAGGTAGTTTTTTGTTGGCTTGTTTGCTGATTTGTTCTTCGTTTCTGTTTTGACTTGTAGGAAGCGCAAACTTTACATGGATAAAAGCAAAGTCTACTTGGTGGGGTGGGGTAGGGGTTGGTGGGAACTTACAGATGATGTCCTGTCCACTTCACAGCGGCTGCTCAGGATAAAACAGGCCTCCGCATTGTCCATCCTAAACACAGACAGACAGGAGACAGAGTGACACATTGTCCACCCTAAACACAGAGAGAGGGACCACACCAAAATGCTACTGGAGTGACCATACCATTGCCTGGTCCACATCGTGTATTGTGTCCTTCCACTTAAAGGACTGTTGGATATCTTGCCAAACATGGCTATGTTTGTGAAAAAAAAAAAAAAAACCAAAACCAAAACCAAAACAAAAACAAAAACAAAAAACAGCTTTCCTAGTCATAGAGCTCCAGAGTTTTGCACATATTGGGAACACTGCTGATGTTGATTTTATGGATAGCTCATCTCAGCTACAACTACACAGTTGGAGAGTGGGAACAGATACGATTAGTGGTTTTAGGTCATACTCTGCTGTATGTTATGTTTCCAGGGGACTGTTCAACCTTTTGTTCCAAGCCCTTTTTCCTCATGATGATGTTCTTTAATTTTTAAAATTAGTAACTAAGAGAATGTGTTTTAGTCCTTCCTAAGTAGTGATTTTAAAACATGAGAGTGTTTATTTTTCAAGTGAGTAATGATTTATTTTTCTGGTACACTGTGATAAAGTTAGATTCTTCAACAAAAAAAAAAAAATATGTTTTCATTGGACAAGAGAGACAAAGAGCCCAGGAAACTAATCCAAGCAAAACAATTCTGAAGAAAACATTGAGGCATGATTGCTAAATAACATTGGTATTGGACAACATCTCTAAGCGTCATTTTCAGTAAAGCAGTTAACTCATGCAATTGACCTTTGGGACTTGTTTGGAGACTGCTATTCCTTGTTCCTTGCATGGGGAATTATGCTGAAGAATTTATTAGTTAGCGTTAAGACCTGTATTTTTTTATGTGAAATTAAGATTAGAAATGCACATGCAGTAGATAGTCTGTCACCCTAAGGGATGTTCTGCTCAGCCCAGCTCTTTGAACAGTGCTAGCTGACCAACAGTCTCTTGTCATCCCTTCTCTATAATTTAATCCATTTTCAATTCACATGGAAGATTTCTGTAAATATGACCCTTTTGTGGAAAATCATTACATTATGGATAAAGACACATAGAGTCTAAATCTGAGATAACTACAGTTAAAACAAAGAGGCTAGATTCAATTCCCAGGGCAAAAAGCTTCCATCTTGCTCAAGCCTTTCAACCCACCATGGACGGACAAATTGTGTGAAGAACTTAATTCATGGTAATTTTAGGAAATTTATTTATACAGACAAAAAAAAAAAATAAATCCAACAACAACACAGCTTTAGAGGAGGCAAATGTGGCAATGTCTTCCAATAATTATATAGATATCAAATAAGAAATAATTAAATCTTCATTCTGTAACATCCAACTCTTTATAGGACCATCACCTGTAGTATTTAACAGAGATATACTCTAAGAGAAAACCTATTTTCTTTAGTTTTTCAATATTTCCCATTCATTCTATTGTGGAAGTTCCTGGCTACTGTTGTTTCTTAGGTAGAATCTTTAAATAAAATAAACCTCAGCTGTATTTTCCTCTTAATAAATCAACAGTAAAGTCAGAATTCACAAGCTACTGGGCCCCGAAGCATTATTTGGGACATCGGGTGAGTCATGGAAACAAAAAGTCTTAGGTTATCAAGTGTGATGAGGAAACCTTTACATTTAAAACAGTGCATGAGAGCACCCAAGAGGAAACATGAAGACATGCTTAAATCTTTAAAAGCAGCAGCAGGTATCCAACAAAGCCTAGCCTGCTAGAGATTTCTCCTGGTTTTGAAACTAAGGTAATTGCTTTGTGTTAGCCCTGATCCCTAGGCGATCTCACGCCTACCAGTCCACCCCCTCACTATGTTTCTGTGTTAGAAGACCAATTTCCCATCACAAATGGTTAGACCATGTCACTTTTTCAGCCCTATTGACTGAGGGCAATTCCCCAGGACCTCTCAGGATCCTGTTTCGTCCAGCTCTGAGGACTTTTCCAACTTTGATCTCAGCAACATAAAATGTGTCGCTTAGTGCATGCTGGAACCTCTTTAAAATTCAGACCCTGGCTCATGCTTAATACCTCACAAAACATTTATTCCAAGTCTTTTATTTGTGAAATAAAAGCAGAATTGTGAAATGTGGAGAATTCTCTTAATGGGAAGTCTGAACACCGCTTGTCTCTCTGTGACAGCTGATGAAATTCTATCATGGTGACGACTCACCGCAAGTGTAGATATGCTACCCTAAACACCTGGCCAAAAAAAAAAAAAACAAAAACAAAAACAAAAACAGAACCAAAACCAAAAGTAAGAAACAAGAGCCTATCCTTGTAGCATTATTGTTCTATAATCCTGAAATAGGAGCTAAATCTTATATTTAAATACGTGTGAAACGTATCTTGCAAGACTTATGAGAGAGAAGTTATCAAAGGACTGGACATTAATAGAGAGATAGAATGTGATGAGGATGCCTACTTTGCTCTCAGGAGATCCTGATCTTTAAGGGCTGAGCCTTGAAGGTAGATCACTCTCTGGGACCACATTGGAATCTGTAGCACCCTCCGAACTTGCACATCCATCTCCGTAGGACACAAAATCACCACATAGTAATCCTATTCGAAGCAAAAATGGACAATGGCATGAACACACCCTATTCTTTACGTTATCCCACAGAAGTACATTAAAATACTTCAGATATCTTTTCTTTAACTACAGTCAAGGTGGACTGAAGTCTTGGGTAATAGGTAAAGTTCACATTTAAATTCAGACACATTAAATAAAATTGCACTATGATAAATGTAAAGTTAGAAAAGCAAGCAATCAGTGAATCTGAGCTATTTCAATTGCATCATTACCACAAAGGAAGGCAGAGTCATGGAGTTTGCACCATGCACCCCTTCAGTTTAGTGAGCAATGCACGGTGAGATTAAAATATACACTGAATGGGAGAGAAAGGCTTAAAAGTCAATTCATACTTCAAAGTGTTGCTTTTAAACTGAATTTATTATAGCCATTTAACTAGTATTTTATTATGAAATGGTACTTTGGGGCAGCTTCTATTGAAGCTTGTATAGTTAGGAGTTTGTAGGTATGTTGAAAATAATAAATGATTAAAAAATTAGTTTTAAGTAAAAATGGTTCAAAGTGTATCATCATTTAGAGACCTAAAAGATGCATTCAAAATGTAAAATAACTTAAAACTAATCTATAAGAATTTGGCTTCTCTGGAAACCATTCCCTATTAGATTCCTCTAAAATATATCTACAGCAAAAAGTGAAGTATTTAGAATCTCTATATTGTTATTAGAGATAATTATTATGAGATCACTATCACGCTATAAGTACTTTCCCACCAACCTTGTCCCACAGCTGCATCAGGCTCAAATAACATACAGAGACTTGTATTAATTATGAAACTGTTGACCAGTGACTAGCATTAATTATTGGCTAGCTCTGTCTTAATTATTGACCAATAATTACTAATATATGTATTTCTACATGGTATTATCTTACTGAGAACACCAGACTCACACATCCTCTCCTACCAAATGACATCATGATTCCTCCTCTCTCCTACCTCTCCCAGAATCCTCCTTGTCTCCTAGTCCCTCTTATCTTGCTTCCCTATTGGCCAACAGTGTTATATTCATCAACCAATAAGAGGAAAATATGTACAGAAGACTTCCCCCATCACTATCTAATTAGATTTTCTTAGTAAAATATATATTCTTTATATGGGAAATTAAAGTTCATGGAAAAGTTCAAGAACATAATATAGGACTAAGCAGTGTTAAAATACTATGCATTTTAGATATCACTTATGAATTGTACTCATATTCAGCTTTGTACAAGGTTTTATTCACACAAATTAATTCAGGAAAAATAGAACAGACAACTATTTCTTCTTCAAACTGAACTAATTGCATCAAAAAGAAATGACCTAAATCTACTTTGTCTCCATAGTGCTTACTCCAGAAAACGAATACACAAAAAGGAACTTCTAGGCAGTAGAGAGTTGGCTGGCAAGTTAGAGTAGTGGGCACTCTTGGCACAGGAGCTGACTTTGGTTCCCAGCAGTTTCTAGCAGTCTACATACTACCCATCCATACACACATAAATGCACACACACACACCCTCATATAGACAATTGCAGAAACACAAACCCATATATGCACACGCACACACAAACCCCCCCACATGCAGAAACATAAACACACACACACACGCAGAAACATAAACCCACATTTGCACACAAACACACACACACACGCAGACACATAAACCCACATTTGCACACACACATACACACACACACAAACCCACATATATACACACACGAATGCACACACATACACATGCACCCACAAACATAGAAATATGAAAACCTTACAAAAAGAAACTTGCACACTCTCATATTCCAATCGTCAACACTCTTATGACTACACTTTTCTACATGGTTTCCTCATTGTTTTATTATATTTCATACTAAAACTCACTGCCTTCATAAAATTATCATTTATGCTTTACCCAAGAGGGAAAATAATAATCCTTTCAGTCAAATAAAGTTCTCCTTTCTGGCAATAACATGTCCCACCTGTCTTGTAGCACAGGTACAGAAGAAAACCTCAAGGCTGTTTATTCCTCCAGCATTTTTCCTATGTGCCTCATTATATTTACAATCTTTCCTCTACCCGTTTTAAAAGTGGGCATACAAATAAAACTTTGCCAGAATGCAGGCCTCGCTATCGGTTAATGTGCTATTAAGTATGACTCAGTATTGTACACAATGCAATCCAAATTTACCTGCAGTCTCGGATGCGCATAGAATTCATTTAGAAAATCCATGAGTAAGTCAATCTTCAAGGAGCTGACACACAGGACAACATGTTTCTCAGTCTGAGCTCTGTGACGGCTATAGTTTCCACCTGACTTTTGTCTCTCCATCCACAAATAGGCCAGTTGTTCAAACTGTAACGAATTTTCCGCATGTGAATGAAAAACATCACACGTGAAAATGAAAACCGAATGCAGTGTTATCAGGTGCATATCATTTCTTACTCTTGAAATACTTCTTGCAAACTGTCAGTGTCCTTTTCAACAGGCTGACTACGTGATTTCCACAGAGATTACAAATGAGGCCCAGGGGCTTCAGGTCTCCAAGGAAGAGCATTAGAATCATCTTACCATCACACCATAGCAGGCCACTAAGAAGTTAGGACATGTGTTTTGTGTCCAGGGAAGTATGAAGCCACTCACTACATGAAAGGCAACAGCTCTACCGGCTTTAATTAAAATTCTTCTTCATGCCCATATCATGCAAGGGGAGGGAGCTGCATTGGCAAACACAATGCCCCATGCTAGCTGTGCAGTGATCAGTGCTGTAGAGGGAAGTTAGGGAGGACAGTATCAAGTGGTTAAGGTTGTTCAATGAGAATGCAAGTTTAATTTTCATCTGCCATGTTGTGTTCATTTGTTCACTAATGGGCAATCAGTGGTCATTATAACAACAACAACTAAAAATGACAGACTTATCAATGCTTATATCTCTACCTTTTACAATCCTTCTACTACCCAAAATGCCCCATAATGTGCACACAGATTGCTTTAGTTAATGAACATGAGATATTAACCTTTCGGTTTTGTTTTTCAAGACAGGGTTTCTCTGTGTAGTCCTGGCTGTCCTGGAACTCTCTCTATAGACCAAACTTGCCTGGAACTCACAGAGATCCACCTGCCTCTTCCTCCCAAGTGCTGGGATAAATGGCGTGTGCTACCACTGCCCTGTAAGAAATTAATTCTCAACCCGACACAATGTATGCCTCTTTGATTTTTTTTATTGCTCAAATTTAATTCGCTGTTCAAACATCCTATAATTTAAAATTATATTATACAGTAATTAGTAATATCAGGTAATCTATAGTTAAAAGAAAACATGTTGAATAATAGAGCCAAAATGTGGGCTACCACTTGTGACTTGAAGTACAAATGTGTCTAGTAAAATTTAAAAAGTTATTTCTGAAATAACACAAGCAACCCATTAAACTGATCATAGCATAATATTAGTGTTAAATAATCAATCAGGTGATTTTTTTTAATCAAGAGAAAGTTCAGTTTTACACGGCTTTGCACTGCCCTACAGAGGTTAACAAGGTTCAGTTTACCTGTATGGGTAGTACCACAAGAGCAACGCAGATCATAGCAACAACAAAAAGCTTGGAAGACCATGTTTCAGGAGTGACATCCCCAAAGCCCACAGTAGAAAATGTCACAATGCAGAAATAAAGGGAGTCAAAGAGATTGAGTTTCTTGCCAATTCGTTCCAGATGCTGAATTCCACAAATGCTAAAAGAGCAGACATGCATTAATATTAAGACTCGTAAATTGGACACATTATTTTTCATTGTTGTTCTCTGGAAAGCAAAACACACTTCATAGAGACATTTTATAATTGGTCTATTGATGTGCAATCTTCACAAGAACAATATAACTTTGAAGGTTTCAACTGCACTAATTAGATACAGTTTTATTTTGTTTAATTGTGTTAGCCACAATAGATAACTCCCAGAGATACTAGATGCATGTTAAGGCAAAACAAACAAATGAAAAAAACAAAAACAAAAAACCCACAAAAAAACAAAACCCAGAAGTTTCTAAGTCTACCACTAGTGATATTGTTAAATTTAAGAAGGATAAATGTTAATCAATGTATGTGTGAGCATTGACAGAAAACTGTCAACAAGAAAGAAACCATATAATATGGACATTGTTCTGCCAAAGTTCTAGTTGATACTCACTGGCTATTGTAACAATACTGAAAGAGGGTAGACCTTTAACAATGGATTGCTGTCATTATTGTGGGAAGATATTCACTATTGGGGGCATAATTTACCCTATTGTGTGTAATGTTTTTTTTTTCCAAACAACCCTATGCTCCCAGAACTTTCCAATGTAATAACTTTCAGCACCTTTATCATGGACTTACCAAACTTTAGCACTGTTGATACAACAAATTTCTGTTTTGCCCATTACAAATAATTCAGTCACAAGTATTCTGTCATACAGCCATAAACCAAATTTGTACATGAATGTCTATCAACAGGAGCCTACAGTATAAGACAAACTTCTATTGCAAGCAAATAATATATAAAAAGATCCAATGTAAAAACTCTTAATGATAGAAGATATCCAAAAATTAGCACCATTACTCATTTATAAAATAAAAAGTAAAAGACTATGAGTGAAAAATATATTGTGCATGTTGAAGAGTGATAATAAATTTGCAACAAGAAACTCAGTATGCAGCAACAATGATTTATACACAGATGTTCTGATTCATATATCAGTATTAAAATGTGGAGACTTTAGGAGATGGAAAATCACAAAGGTAGTGTCCTCAGACATGAGGTTAGTTAATCCTATAAAAGGACTGGTGATGAGTACATCAATATGTTCAGTCATTCCACACTCTGCCTTGTGATGATATAGCAAGAAGACACTGTCTTAGAGAGAAGGCCCTGGTGGAACACCAGTTGGAAGGGAGCGTAATCTGTAACATCTCATTTGAATCTGTCAGAAACAAAATTTATGTAACTTAAAGATTATTCATTCCTATGCATTTTTATGGAAATGGACCAACAAAAGATATCAAAACTTAGAACAAGGTTTTGGCTTAGTGAATGGCAACAGGTAAAGAATCACCTTTGGGGAAGGCAAATGGGTAGAGGCTGGAAAACTGGGAACATAAAGAAAATGACTGAATCATATCGAATGTGTTGCTAAGGGCAATTCTCTCCAGGTAAAGGAAAACAGAATGGTAGCGAAGGTTATGGAATGAGTTGGTAGGAGGTTGGTTGAACACTATATAATGACGGTGATCCTGATAAACTGAAGGTAATAAATGGATGTTTTATTGGAAAACGTAAGAAAAGCTGTACTTGTGGCATAGCAGTATAGCTTGACTGTGTTAAGTCCATGTTTTTAGGAAAACCAGAACTGATGAGTGATAAACTAGAATCAATGGGAACAGAAATATCTGAGTCAAGGATTTTGGGAGTTTCATGGCATCTCCCGATTGTACACTAAAATCATAGAAGAGAAAAAGAGTTTGAAGATAGAATTTATAGGGAATTCTATCTTTGGGTAGAATAAAGGGAAGCAGCATGACGTGCCTTCGAAAGGGCTCCCTTATCCTGGTCAGATTAGGAAGAATAAAAATAGTTCTAGTGAGAAAACACCAAGGATAGGAGATTGCATGAAAAAGGAAGCTGGATGCTTGATATTCAGCTACACAATAGAAGGAGCCTGAAGTCATTCCAGACATCTTGGAAACCATCATGACTACTGCAAGCCAAAAATAACATGACTTGGCAGTTTATAGTTGTTTCAAGTAAGCAAACCAATGTACCCACAGAATTTCAAGGTTTGTGTCCAAAGAAGCCTCAGCTCTCTGACCCCTGCATTGCAACACAAAGCTCTTGAGTCATTTCATGTGGGTCCAAGTGCAACACTACATAAGAATGTGTGTTTGAGCAGACTCCTCCACAGGACACAGAATAAACTTTGGCTGTTATCTCATTGGAAGCACCAGCAGTACATAGTCCTGGAAGAACCTTTTCATCTAGCTAGCAAAGGGTTTCCTTCTGCCCAGACAAAAGTGCCTTAGGATTGAGATCGATAAAGAAAGGACTCACTGTGATATTGTCTAGTAAAAACTTGAGGATGAGGCTTCCACAGACAACTCAACTGAAGAGAAACAATCATACAATACCTGGGAGAGTTAGTGCTCCAATACTCAACTGTGAAATTTCCTGTGCAGGCTGTGCCCACAAAAGCCATTTGGGTAATGCTTCTGAAGACCTTAAGAACCCTTGTTCCTTGTATCTAGAACCTTTGACATGGAGTTATAGCTAACTATCCTCAAGCCAAAGGATTTCATGTTGTTTGATGTAATCAGGTTTTGAACATTTTTGTTGATACATTAAGAATTTTAGAACTACTGCTGTAATGAACTGTGTTTGATTTTTGATTGTTTTCTTAACTGTTCTTACTTGAGGAAAATAATAGAAACTGCAATGTGCCTCCACAAAAATTCAGATTAAAACCTAACTGTCTAATGCAATAGTATTAATCAACAAGACATTTAGACAGGTCATTATGACCACAGACCTTTTGAATAGGAACAATGACTTTATAGGAGAATTTGATGGGGGATATTCTTCTGCATATGTTTCTCTTATTGGTTGTTGAATAAAACACTGTTTAGGCTATAGCCAGTAGAGGCAAGAAGATAGGCAGGACTAGGAGAAAGAGGAGAATTCTGGGAAAAGGGCGACCGCAGAGATGCCATGTAGACCACAAAGGAGTAAAAGGTCCAGGCATTCTCCAGTAAGCCTAGACCATGGGGAAATACATAGATTAATAGAAATGGGTTAATAATTAAGAAAGAAGAGCAAGCCAAAATAAGAAGCCCTAGCCACAGGCCAACAATTTTACTAATATAAGTCTTTGTTTGCCTATTTGGGGATAAGAAGAGTTGAGGTAAATGACAGGAGAAGGAAACAAAGTAACAAGAATTAGCTAGTCTTCCTCCCACATCTCACGATGAGAGGACACAACCACAGGAACTCCGTGGCTCCTTGACATGGAAGGGCTCCAGCACTGAGAACCACGGAATGAAACCTGGCATACTGCAAATTACATAGTCTCAATAGCACAAGTAGAGTAGTATGATTAAAAGTACCATTCACGATGGGAAGAGAGAGAGGAGAAGGGGATGGGGAGGGGGCAGAGGAAGCAAGAAGAGGAACCAAATATTGATAGAAGAAACAAGCAGAATGAAAAATAAAAAAGAAAATGTCAGATGGAGAGAGCATGCATGATTCTGTTTGTGGGTAATCCCCAGAGAAGAGACATAAAGCAGATTAGTGGCTGCCTTGCCTGACAGTGGGGCGTGAAGATGAAGATATTCTAAAAGTAGGTTGTGGTGATTGCTAGAAAACTCAGTAAATATGTTAAAACATGACTGAATTTACACTTAGGATGAGTGAATTTGATGATGTGCAAATTATGTTTCTGAAAAATCTGTTAAAACTCAGTGTATACTTTTGGACAGCCACTGTGTCTGAGCAGACAGTTTGGCTAACATGAACTGCCAAGAAATAAAGCAATGGCTGAAAGTAAAAAAAAATAGAGAAATTCATTTTATAGCTCTTACAAAAGAAATCTGTTCATCTGAGTCACATGCCATACTTATTGATCCATTTTTATTTTTAAAAATTGTTTTGTGTAATATTAAATTGAAACTGTCGAATAACAAGACAGGCTCATAGGTCAAGAACAAAGAAAAACAATGAGATGCAGGACACTCAAGAACAACCGTGATTTACTTTTGCTGGACACTCAAAAATAATCTTGACTTACTTTTTCTATTTCTTCGAGTAAGCAATTATTTCTACTCCATGTTTCTAAATTGATTGAAAAAGTTTGTTTAGGAACTTTGAGTAACGAGGGCACAGGACCCAGTAAAATGATTCATATTAATTTATTTGCCTGAATACTCTTATATAGTGTTGCCAGTGTAATTAAGCTATCAGATGTAGTTTCCCACAACTAACAAGAAGAAATGAATGCTATCTATTGATGCTCCTCATTTATGATATAATTTACAATGTAAATGTTCATACATAACTTAAACTATTACCTAATATTTATGTGCTAATTCATTGAACACGACAGATGTGTACACATGCATGTGTACATATGAGTCACAGAATAACTTATAGGAGTCACCTTCTAAGCCATCTCTTTGGCCCTATGATACAACTTTTATGAATTAATCAAGATAGAGTAAGCATTCAAGTGTTATAGGAGAATGCTGTATTTTGGTTAAAGACACATTAAATCTAATGACCGACAGAGTAATCACTTCCTAATGCAAACATGTTATCTAGATCTACATCACAAAATGTTATCACTGTACCTTTTAGACTTCTAATTGTCCATTTTAAAATGAATGCACAAAAGTACAAAAGTAGCTTGAACATGTTTTATGTCGTGTTTCAAATTGCCACTGAATTTTCCCTGATTACAAAGCTTTTTCAGACTTGTGTGAAAACAGAACTTGTTATATCTTTTCTTCTAATTAGAAAAAAATCTTATTTTATATATCAATCCCAGTTCCCTTTCCCTCCCACTCCCTCAACCCCCCTCCCCCACTGAACCCCATCCTCTCTCTCTTCTGCTTCATATTTCTGAAACCATAGATCACCATTTTGGTTGTGAGCCTAGACTTTAATGACTGAGCCAATCTCTATTGTAAGCCACGAGTTAAGCCTTAGAGTTGA